TTAAGCACATATATATATTTTTTAAGTTAACAGAAAAAAGTCAAATGACAATCTTAATAGACTTGAATTTTTTTTAAGTTAACAGAAAAACACATATGTATTTTTAAATGTCCTACTAGCTTTATTAAAAAAGGAAACAGATGAAATTGGTTTTAATAATATATATATTTTTGGAGACAGGGTCTCATGATATAGTTCAGGCTAGCCTGGAACTTGCTAAGTTGCCCAGGCTGACCGTGAAGTCATGATCTTGCCGCAGTCTCCCAAGTACTAGAATTATAGGGATATAGTCTTATTTTCTCTAAGTTTTCATCAAATTCTGGTATGTATTTTATACTAATAAGTACACCTCAATTTAAACAGCAGATTTTCATTAGAAAATATTTGATCTGTATTTTGATTGCATAAAATTTACATTTAAGTGATTTGGTATCAGATCTCAAATTACATTTAAATTAATTAAAATTAAATACAATGACTATGCAATTAGTAAGATGCTCACAAGCCACATGTGACTGGCAGTTATCAACTGTAATGATCTTGTAGGTTTTTATTTGTTACTATTTATTTATTTTTATTTTTTAATCATTTAAATGTGAAACTTGTATACTTTTTCCTTGGTTATGTCTCATACTCCACTGGCCAATATGATTTTGTACCAATGTCACAGTGATCACCACAGCTTGGTGAAATGTTCATTATGTGGGAGGGACTGCAGACTCTTTTATCCCCACCTCCCCCTTATTTTTTTCTTGGTCAGTTTTTCTAGAAACAGAATGATGCATGCTCGCTTCAGCAGCACATATACTAAACAGAAATGATTTTTCTCTTCAGAAATATAGAATGTCTTTATTAAAATTAAATTCTTTTTATCTTCCCAGAAGATTAGAGGGATGTATCCTACTTTTTTAGTAAAAGGCAAAAGATTTATACAATCTGAAGAGAAACCAGAATATTGTACCATACTTTTGAGGGGAGAAGCTAATTAAATGCAGTACAAGGTTCTAGATCTCTGGCACTCTGGGGATCAAATACATTAACAACTGACGTAAAAATAATATGTAACAAGCAAAACTTCTATCAAAAAGAACAAGTTAGGAATCTGTCTTCCTCAACCCCATCAGCTCACAGGCAGAAGTGGGCCCATGGGATTCCAGCATGACCAGCAAAGGATTTCTCCTTTCACAGTACACAGGGGAGGCTGCCACCTGATGGTTCACCATGGGAAATACAATTACGTGGCTCCCGTGCTAGTAAGAGCTGGGAAGGTGCATGTCTAGAACCTAGAATGATTTTTGCCCATTGCCCTTGATTTAGCAACTTTACTAAATTCACTTGGTTTTAATAGTTATCTGTAGATTATTTTGATTTTTTACAAATACAATCACATAATAATTATTTTTTCCTTTCCAATTCTTGTATTTTATTTATGTTTCTTGTCTCACTGTACCAGTAAGAACCTCTATTTCAGTGTGACAGTGGGCATCTCTATCTGGCTCCCATTGAGAGTGTGGTTTGCTGCTGTTCTATAGTTCTTTTATCAGACTTAGAGGAATTTCTACTTCTAGTTTTCTAAGAAGTTTACTAATGAATGGATATTACATGTTATTAGATGCCCCCCATCAACTAAGAGGATCATTTTATTTTTCTCCTTTATATAATTAGTATGGATCACACCAACTACTTGTCTGATTTAAATCAATCTTGAAGTTCCTATGTAAATCCAACTGGGTCATGATATAGTAGACTTTTCATATTATTGATGGATTTTGCTTCCTTATTCATGAGTGAAACTGATAATTATTTCATGTCAGGTTGAGCTAGGCTCAAACATGAATTGGGGAGTGTTTCTTTTTTTTCTGTTCCCTTGGACTGATTAATATTGGTACCTTTTTTTCCCCCTGGAAAATTATATGACCAATGAAGCTACATAGGCCTAGTTTTTACTATAGGGAAACTTATGTATGTGTTGTTCTTAAATAGATATAGAACTTTTTTTCTTATTTTTTTCTGTACCCATTTTTATAATTGTATATAGTTGGACTTCAAAAAAATGTTCCCATTCCATCTGTTACATTTTCAAATTTATTCACAAAATACTCTTCTGAAAGGAAAAAAAATGTCTGTTGGATTTAGAGCACACCCCACCCCGCTGGATTTCCAACACTGGTCATTTATCAATATGCTCTTCAAAAATCCATTCTCACCCAGGAATGGTGGCACAGGCCTGTCTGTTATCCCAGCACTTTGGAGTTTGAGGCCAGCCTGGGCTACATAGTAAGTTCAAGGCCAGCCTGAACTACATAGTGAGATGTTGTCTCAGCAATAACCACAACAACAATAACAACAGAACAAACCCCCCAAAAAACAAAGATCCACTCTGGTTCTTTTAATCCTGTTTATTGTACCTTCCCTAGATCATTATTTTTTGCTCCTATTCATGTTTCATTTTTTATTATATTCTTTAGGTTTAATTGGCACTTCTTTCTGTTGAGAGGGATGTCTTTTCTTTTCTAATGTAACAAGTGATTCTCAACCTTAGCTGCACAATGGAATTACCAGGGAAGCTTTCAAATGCTTGGGTCCTTCCAGAATGACACAGTCTGGGATGTGGGTTCAACATCAGAGTTCCCCAAGAGACTCTAGGTGCAGCTAAGATTGAGAACAACAGATTTAATGCTATAACCTGTAAGTACAACTTTAATTGCACCCCACAAGTTTTAAATATTTTCTTCATTATTTAGTTTTGGTCTTGCCCTTGGGGAGCAGGGAATCAGGTGTCACAATCCTGCTACTGACTGCATCTCATGTTGAGCTTCAGTTTCTCCAGCTCCTAAATATGAATAACAACAATAACACTATTCACCTGTATGGCTGAGTGTGAGGATAACATGGAATACTAAGACTGAAAGTGTTTTGTTTTTAAAAAATAAACTCATGAACGTAAGATACTGTTACAAGGAAAACCTTTCATGGATAATTATAGGTAAGTTTTTTTCAACTTTCCCTAGCTGCATTTTTTAACCCCATCCAGAAGCATTAAGTTTTAAGAGACTTTTAAAGATTTTTATTTATTTTAAATTGACACCTAGAAATTATACTATTATTACTATCATCTCACGCTCCATAATTATATTTATGGGGTACAAGTGACATTTCAATACACGTATGTAATGTGTAATGATCAGAGATAAGGATAACTGGCACATCTATCACCTCAGACAATAGTATTTCCTTCTATTTGAAACAGTCAAAATCTTCTTTACTAGTTATCATGAAATATATACAGAACTCTAGAAGTCATTCTTCCCATCTAACTTCTCTGTACCCATTAAACATCCCTGCTCTAGCCTTCCCTCCCACCACTTTCCCCAGGTAACCACTGTTCTCTTCTCTACTTCTTATTACAAATTTCTTTTTTTTTTTTTGGTACCAGGAATCGAACTCAGGACCTTGTGCTTGCCAGATAGGTGCTTGTGCCTCTGGACTATATTCTCGGCCCTCTTCTCTTCGTGAAACCTACAACTTTAGCTTCCACATATAGGTGAGAACATCAGGTGTTTATCTTTCCGTGCCTGATTATTTTACTTAATCTCTTCCAGTTCTACCCATGTTGCTGCAAATGTAAAATTTTTTAAAAGAGGAAAAGAGATCCCATACAAGGAGTGGCACTAGCCTCCTCAACATTAGTACTAGAAGCTAGAAGAAAAGCACAATGTCTTCTAAATTGTAGTGGAAAATTATTTTCAGCCTAAAATTTTATATTCAAATTCTCAGTGAACTTGTAAGTGTAAAAATAAAGACATTTCAGTTGGAAAAGCTCACAGAAAAGTTACCTCCCATGTACTTTTCCTCAGAGACCTTTGGGAGAAAGGTTCAGTGAAAGGAGAGAATATATAGGAAGAACACAGCATAAATCAGGGGAGGTTCATTAAGAAACCCAAACAATTTAAAAGCAAAAAATGGATAATATTACATTTAGGATAAGCAAAGAGCGAACCCTCGCCCCAAAAATGAAGTATAAGCACAGTTCAGATCACTGTAAATAAGAGTTTTATGGCCATAATAACAAACAGGGGCCACTGATTTGGCCAAGCATTGCAATACAATTGTGTTCAGTTAGTGGAGGAAGAGGATTGTGTATTCATCTGTGGTGTGGGGGAGGTGCTGGGTAAGGTAATGTAAGACAATAAATCCTCATCTTCTACAGGACATCAATAGATTGACCGGAAAAAAAATGAAGAAACAGTGTAAATGTGGAGAAGAAATAGCTAAATGGTTAAATTGGGGGAAGAACCAAGAGATGGAGGGAGATGGGAGGCAGACGGAAGGAGAATGAAGACATGCTATGTACACCAACTCTCCACAATGAATGTAATCAGTATGTACTGCACACCCATACCGACAAAGAACTTTTAAAAAGTGAAGTGGGAATGCCGGTATATGGCTCAACTAAAAATGGAGGGTAAGAAGGGATGAGGTAGGTTGTTACTACTTTCACTTTTAAGGACTCCAGCACTTGTCTTTTTCAATTGTTTCTATGTAGTATTTTCAGAAAAATATAATTAAAACAAAGAAAAACTATAAAGTAAAAGAGATTCCCATGAGACTAAAAAAAAATCACTTTTAGCTTTAAAATGCTGTATAATCACTGGAATGCTTTTCTGAACAAGATGAGGAATACAGTACATGCAGCTCACATCAGTAACCATTATTACTACTTTTTTTAGCTCAAAAATTTCCCCATGAGAGCCACATTACCTGTAATTTAGTAAAAGGTCCATGCAAAGCTTCCCCCAAGAGCCAGGATGCACAAACCCCACGTTTTCATTTCATCAGGTTTAGATGGATTACACCACTGAAATGCACATGCAACTTTTTAGGAACACACATTAAGTCTGATCTGCTGTGGAAGCAAGGATTACTTTTAATTTTTTATGAGCCGGTGATCACGGGTCTGAACTGAAAGCACAGACTTTTGTTTGTCTGAGGGAAGTTACCTGAAGAAAGTCACGAAGAACTGCACCAGGTCCATAAAGTTGCTGTGCTGGGAGAAGGCGATCTGTGGCAGAAAAACAGGTGGTGGGTTACTGAGGCTACAGAACGCACCACTGACTCAGCCTACTTGCTTCATGAGATGAGTTAAAAGACAGGCGTTAGCCAGGCATGATGGCACACACCTGTAATCTCAGCACCCAGGGAGGCTGAGGCAGGATTACAAAGTTGAGCCCATCCTGGCCAATTCAATGACTTAGTGATACCCTGCCCTGGCAAAGATGTTACATTTTAGTCTTTCTTTTTTTTTTTTTGGTGGTACCCAGGAATCGAACACATGACTTCACGCTTGCAAGACAGGCACTGTGCCACTGAGCTATATCTCCAGTGTGGTTACATTTTAAAGATGTTAATTTCATTTACAGCAAAGTGCCTTAGTTTCTTTTCTTGTCTCACTGTCAACCCCAAAGGGTAACAGTCATGGTTTCTCCATCACCTCCTACAGCCCCCTTCGTCAGCCCGCAAGCTCCTCCACTGACAGCTGCAGTGCCAAGTCAAGCTGCCGGCTCCCGCCCTACGTCTCTCTCCGACACAGTGCTCCCCTCCTTTGTTACAAAAGCAATTCCAGGATCTACCTCATTTTATGCCCTTCACTGCTTCAACAGGTGTGTGTGTACTCACAAGACAGTGCCCTATTTAAAGAAAAATTGTTTGCGGTTTTGCCATACGGACTATATCTGACAATATGTTATCAGTTCAAACTTAAATAATTTTACTATTATTTTAACAGTCTTTATTCCAAAAATATAAAAGACCCCTAGTGTAGTTCAGCAACTCTAATAAGATACCACTGAGTGAAAGCAGCAAAACCACTCTGTGAGGGCCAGGGATGCAGCTCAGCGGCACAGCGCCTGACTGGCAGGGGCGAGGTCACGAGGTCCATTCCCAGTATCAAAAAAGAAAAAAAAAATCACTTTGTGTTCTATTAAGAAAGAACATTACCAATTAAACCGTGACAGAATACTTTCGAAATCATTGGCTGTGAGAGGCATCACGATTCCAGAGATACTGGAATATGAAGAAATCTGTACCACAGGGTTAATTATTAATTAATATGATAACTGTAACCTTGTTAACACTTTCAACGTAACCACTACTGGCCAGACGTCGTGGTGCTTTTTTAGGATGCAGCCTTATTGGAGTGATGATGGTATAAACTGAGTATCCTTTAACCCAAGTGTTTGGGACTAGAACTGTTTCCGATTTCAGCTCTTTTTGGATTTGGGAATATTTGCTCAGACTCTACTGGATGAGTATTCCTAATTGGAAAATTAAAAATCTGAAATTCTCAAACCTCCAGCTTATTAAAATAAGTGTTGGGTTTTCAGGTTAGGGATGCAGCCCATCACAGCCTAATTGGTAATGTTCTTCCTTAACAGAACACAACATGATTTGGCTGTTTTCCGTCACTGGTACCTCAATGAGTCGGGGAAATGCAGCAGGGATCTCTTATATTTTTGGAATAAAGATTGTTAATAGTAAAATTAGTTAAGTTTGAATGGATAATATATTGTCAGATATAGTCAACATGGCAAAACCTGAAACACAATTTCTTTTTAAAATAGGGCACTATCTTGTGAGTACATATCTGTTGAAGCAAGAAGGGCATAAATAATTACTTGACAAGGTGATAACGTCTACCACAGACAATAAATATGACAAGGATTAGGAATGTTCATGATCAGCACCTTTTTTTTGTTTGGGTGCTAGGGATTGAGTCTAGGGCTTCATACATGTCAAGCAAGTGTTCTACCACTGAGGTTCACTCCCAACCCTCTTACACTCCTATCACAGCAGTGAGGCAAAAGCAAGACTTCTGCTTGTTTTTTGTTTTGGAGACAGGGTCTCACTGTGTAGTTCAGGCTGTCCTTGACCTAACTATGTAGCCAAGGCTGGTCTTGAACTTGTAGGATCCTCCTGCCTCAGCCTCCCAAATACTGCGATTACAGGTGTGTGCTACCATGCCTAACCCTGGAATTTGAAGTTTTTGTGCCATCCCTCTAGTTGTCATTTAAATCAGAAGTAAAAGTAACACAGATTTCCTAGAATAAATAAAACAAAACCCCACTCTCTTTTCCTTTCCTTCATTTTTATAGTAACCAGTACCAAACAACAAGGCACTTTGAGAGAAGAAAACCTGTAGAACATGGGCCATGGTCCTCACATACAAACTTTTAAATAAGACTGAAGGACTGTTCTGTAAGTAAGGTTAATCAGTCCTGGGGTATGAAGATTCCAAATTACAACAGAAAAAGAAGGAAAAGATCCCAGATTCCAGGACCTCCCAGCTCTGTTTAGATTTGACTCTCTTGAAACAGTAGTATATCCTCTGAGTTTACACGTACAGAAATTCCTGAGATGCTTTTGCTTACTGCTGGATGCCAGAGGCACCTTCTAGATGTCCGTTTGTGCTGCCAGATAACACTCCTCAGGGCAGCTCCCCCAACCTGAGCCGGACTTTGTGCTGAAGCAGGAGGACACCGGTTTATAATAAAGAGCCTCACAGGGACCTGCTGCCAATGTGGCTGATACCCAAGACTCTTGTCAAACATCCATCATCTAAGTCTCCACACTCACAAGGTTGTGAGGGAAGCAAAAGCCACAGTGTGAATATGTTTACTGCTCACTTAGAAATATCTAGCCATCTTGTTTTTGCTGGTCAGTCTTTGATCGGTAAGGTGAGGAACTTATCCAAAAACTACTGAGAGTAAAGGGGAATGTTGTGAGAAATGATATTGGCCAGTCTGCACTACATGGTGCAACCCTGTCTCCAAAACAAAACAAAACAAAACCCAGTAACAAGCATAAAGTGGGCACTCCTACAAACATAGCATTAGAGAACACAAAATCAACCTCATGAAAGTTAAGGTTTTAGTGAAAGGGTCTGCTCACAAGGAACTACGGACAAATGAAGACTCAGCAGGCAGTTGGCCCTGTTAGCAGCTGAAGAAAGAGTAAAGGATGAAGACAGAGTAAGTGCTTCCTAACTCTGCTCAGGACTACGTTAGGAGGACTTTGGAGAAATCCATGACACCCCTGGCTACAGCTTCCAAACCGCTGAGAAGTCTGGGGTGAGGACTCCACCCTGGAGCTGTCACCTCTCTGGACCCTATCTTACTACTGAAGCTCACCTTTGCCTGCTCAGTGTGCTCTTTGTCTTACAGACTTTATCTCCATAGTGACTCATAGTCTCGTGGGCTAGAAAGTAAGATCTGTGAGGACTGAGGCCGGAACTTTACCTACCACACTGGTTACTGTATCTCAGTGTCCATAGGTGCTTAATAAATACATATTTGCTGAATAAATGAACATGGTAAAAAATAAGGACTTTTCTCCCCAAATCCGGCAAAACATGATTGATTTTTCCTTCTTTCAAGAACTGGTCACAGTTGCAACCACAATCTAAACTTGGCTAATGTAAAATTAAAATAAATAGTTTTCATTCTTTTCAGTTTCATTTTTCAAGGTAATAATCCAGTCAATTTTTTTTCATGATTCTGAAGGTGTTGATTTTGGAGCTTTATTGGTAGTAAAAGTAATGAGAATGGACACTAAAATCTATTTTTATAAAAGAGAATCTCATTATAATTTATAAATAAAATGTACACTGTCAGTTCTTTTCTCTTCCAACAGTAAATATTGCCATAATCCAAAATCTCTGAACTGTATGCACCGCCCCCCAAGTTTACTGTCCTTGACACAGGTGGTTGACAGAAGGTGAGGATGTATCTGTTTCCACAAAGAGCTGCAGGAGCAGAAGACAATGCAGCTCTGGCCCAGGGACAGGTGCCTTCCCAGGCAGAAGCCCTTGGGCCTCTATAGAGTGGCTGAGTGGAGGTAAATGTGGGAGGAGGTTTCCTTTTGCCCCTCTCACCAAGGTGGGTGGGCAGGCTGAAGGAAAGGGTCTTTGTGCCTGATCTCCGAATGTTCTAGAGACTGCCAACCAGCGGCCAATAAAACCTGAGTGTAAGAACCTAGAACAGTGCTGTGCACCTCCAGCACAGGAAAACAGAAAGGTCAGTCCTAGGATTCACGGGAGTCACAAGGCCTCAGCTGGAGGAAGATTACTGATGCCATCTTTTAGGAGGCAAAATAATATGTCATACTAGCCTCAAACTTTTATTTCTTTTTCCATTTTCCATCCCCTATATTATGTTTTCTCATTTTTTAATATAGGAAATTTTAAATTAAAAAAGTAGAGATTAAAATAATGAGCCCCAAATATTCATCATCCAGCTTTAATAATTATCAGCTTATGGCCAATCTTGTTTCACTCATATTCCATTCACTTCTGCCTTGAGTGTGCATTTTGCATCAAATCCCAGCCAGCACCTATACAAAGGTACAAATACTGCAAAAAAACTAAAGTTCTCATACCTACTCTCAAGCTCTTGTACCAATAAACTGCATCTCTCTGGTGCACCTTTACAGTGTCTCCTCCACAAATTCCCTATGTCATGACACTGAGGATGCAGAAACATAAAATGCAGTCCTTGCTGGGAAGGAAATGTTTGTGTCTATGGCTGTAGGACAACAGGGTAGAGAAGTCGCTACAGAAGCTGGCGAGGGGCGTCAGGCAGACGCTTCCCCTAGGTTTCTACTAAAGAATCTTGCCTGGACTTCCTGGCTCTTGGGTGGCTCCTTCCAAGCCACACTTGCAACCACTGCCACAGGGGTCTCTCTAAAACACAACCTGTGGCTCCTTCTTGGTTTAAAACATTTTGGTGACTCGCAATCCCATGGTTCACAGCCCTCAGCTCAACCAGCCTCCTCAGTACAGCTGTGCTGGCTCTCTGCTCCTTGCTCACAAGCACCATCAGTTCTGTGAAACTCCTGGCAGGTTCTGAAAGCAACTGGCCACACTCTCTTCCCACAGTGAACACTCCCACTCTCTCCTTGCTGGGAACACCCCACTTTCTCTCCTCGCAGTGAACACCCCCACCTCCCTGCCTCATGTTCCTTAGGAGTCAGCTCTGGTGTGGCTGCTCCCAACTTAGATTCAGAGGA